GGAATATAAAAATAAAATTTATTATTTAAAAAAATAAATTAAAAAAATAAAAGAAATTTATAGGATGTGAACTGTGAGGTATATATTTTTTAAGGAATACTCGCAAATTTTAGCTTGTTATGAAATATTTCACTGAATTTTAATAGCATCTTCAATTCTGATCTTTATTTTGTGTTAGATTGTATGTTTTTTAAAAAAAAAAAAACTAATACAATCATAAAACATTACATAACTATGTGATTTAGTAGTTGCCTAAATGATATCTTTTTTTTTTAAGATTTATTTATTTATTTATACAAGCACTGGGTACAGTCATAAGTGCGGGAGGGTGAGAGAATTCACCAGAGCCAGAGCGGGCAGCAGAGCAGGTAGACCCATGAAGTATACTGCTAAGGGGAGCGCGAGCACGGCAGGAGAGTCTATGCACTATGTGGGACCCTCGCTGGCGGCGGGGAGGAACCTGCGCTGCAGAAGCTGCGGACAGCTTCACAGCCCAGCGCTCAACCACTGCGCCACCAGGGAAGGCCCGCTATCTTTTACAATTTTCATTAGACAAATATTATGTTTATTAAAAATCCTTTTTTTTTTTGACATGATCATTCATTGTCACATTTCTCAATACAACAAAGTTTGAAGCAACTGAGGTTATTCTGGCTATTGCTAATATTTATTTTATGTCATGATTATTAAATTAAGATTTTCTTATAGAAGAGATTTTTCAAAATGACATGTCCCACGCATTCCATATAGTAGGTACACCACTTAGTTGAACAATTTTTTCTCTTATAAAGATTAACTTGAGAAAGCTAGATCACATAAAAGAAGCTAAAAAAATTATAACCCTTTTTGTGTTGGTAAGCCTTCTTTGTTCTCATTCATATCATATTGAAATTTATGTTCTTGAGTATAAGTAAACATAAACAATCATTTTTCCTCAGTCGTTTAAAATGTCATTTATTTTATTTAAATATAAAACAAGCTCTCAGCTTATTTGTTAACATTTGAATAGCAAAGCATGAAGTTGAATAAAGGCTCTTAAAGAATTGATGAATTTTGAAAAATTGAAGGCAATTGAAGAACTAAAAGTATAGTATTATGTGTAATCAGGTTACTATGCATAATAAAAAGGGAACTAAATATAAAAGACTCTAACTAAGAAATACATATGGCTAAATAACAATTTATCAAGTATCTGGAGCAAAGAATAATTTTGATTTAGTTTAGAAATATATTCAGAATTCAAATTGAATAAAATTGCATGTCCTTGAATCTTTAATAACAGAATAATTCCTACTTGATAAAAGAAACATTCTTTTTAGCATGAAAATCATATTCTGAATCCATCTTAAAAGTAATTCCCCACTTGGTCTACATTCTATTATAATTTGTGGTATTATTTCATGCCAGTCATTTTAAGATAGAATATTACAGGCCCATGGATGATTTACATAAGAACAGACAGATGTAAGTACTTTCAAATCCTCTTTCTTTCTCATATTTAGGAAACATTAGGAACAGAAAAGAAATAGATTAGGTATACTTAAACATTATTAAAGTGTCAGGCTACTTTCTTTTTTTCAGGAGAATTAATTACATATATTCCAGAAAAAGCTTATCTCAGCAGTAATTACTCTCCTTCTCAGGTCTGTGAGACAAATGTAGAGTGTGAATGTGACAATATCCTGTGATACATGATGGCGATTTGCCTCCAGTTCCTTATACACTCCACTACTCTGATGAGAACTGCCAAAAAGATACAATCTTTAATATTCTGCAGCACTTGTCTTGACAATCCTACCTATTTATGTCTTTATCACAAAGTGTTGTCATATTGCAGTACGGCATACATGTAGGAAAATATTTGTGGTTAATTTAAATGCTAATATGAATGTCTTTTACCTTTAAGATAAGTTTTAAGATGAGTATGTAGTCATATTATGGCCAAATTTGTCACATTGCTATAATTATACATAGAGTTGTTGGGTATTTTTGTATTTTTCATTAATCTATAAAGATTATCTTATAGTAGTTTTAGCTATATTTTTACATTTCATTTGATATAAACAATCAGTTTTCTTGTGTTTATCATAATTTGCCAAATAAATCTATTAAAGTAGTCAACAGTTTTGTTTTTTTTTAATATGTGTCATTCTCTCTGGTGTAAGATGGTATCTCATTGTAGTTTTGATGTGCATTTCCCTGATTACAAGTGATGTATCTACCCAAAGGACACAAAAACATTAATTCAAAAGGACACCTGCACCCCTATGTTTATCGCAGCACTATTTACAATATGTCAACTATGAAAACAACCCAAATGCCTAAAAATAGATGGCTGGATCAAGAAGATGTGGTGCATATATACAATGGGATATTACTCAGCAATCAAAAGATAAACTCATGCCATTTGCAGCCACATGGCTGGAGCTAGAAGGGATCATTCTCAGTGAAAAAGAAAAAAAAAATACCGGATAGTCTCACTTATAGCAGGAATTTAGAAAACCCAAATAAGGGACCAGGAAAAATACTAATTATAATGAAGTAAAAATCAAAATCAACAGGTGACTATAAACCAGAGACACACTACAGAGGGGGAGAAAGGGGTAGGATCAAAAGAAGGGTGCTGGGAATTTTACAGGGACTATAACCAAGATGAAAATGCATACATTGTACAAAAATGAAAAATTATGTAAAATACATAAAATTAAAATAATTTTAAAAAATAAAGTAGTCAACAGGACATAAAGGTAGCTAAGGACTTAGAATTAAAAAGTGCAAAACACACACATTTCCGAATAATTAAGGTAGTTAATAAATATGTAACGGGAAAATTTGGATATGTATACACACACATATATATATATCCATTAGTATGAGTATACCCATGTTATATGCATAAATGTAGGTATGTGTGTGTATGCGTGTGAGGCATTGTGAGAAGTAACCTCACCTGTCCGAACCCCAAAAACAGATGCAGAGAGTTTGAATGCAACAGGAAGTGAAACTTTACTTCTTGCAGGGCAGATGTCTGCAAATTGGCAGGTACACTAATACACAATTTTGTTTAGTTTATATACTCTAGTGTGTAAGTCCCTGCCCCCTTTTTTTTTTTCATTGGCTGAGTACCGAGGGGCTTACAATCTTCCTGGATGTCGCCTAAATTCCTTTCCATAATTGGTGATATACACTGAAACCCCTTTTGTTCCTTTTGAGGTCATCTGGCTTGTTTTATGGAATCAGTGAACCTTTGCTTGGTTTTAAAATTTCATTTTATTCAGAAATATCAGATATAAGGTGGGGTTCTGCATTCCTTGTGGTTACCACCATGTCTGCACTTAGCAGCTGGAGGGGGCAAGGCTCAGTACATTTCCATTTTACCTGAAGATAGAAAACTGTCCCAGCGGCATTTCTTTCAATGTTCTACTTCACAATAGGTTATCTTTGTAAGTTTGAAAGCCAGTTTGACCTAGGAACTTTGATTGCAGTAAGGGTTAACAAATAGAACAAGATGGAGTGCTTCTCAAGAAGCCCACATTCCAATACAGGAGACAAGCATAAAAGATAATTTAAATAATAATAGCCATTATTTCCTGAGCTTCTACTCTTTGAAAGTTGCTCTGATGAGTGCTTTAGGTTTATTATTGCCTTCAATTTTCATAATAAAATTGCAAAGTGCTTATTACTTCCAGTTCATCTATAATAAAACTGAAATTAAAAAGGATTATGTGATTTGTTCAAGTCTGCATAGTAAGTGATAGGATTTAAAACAAAATCTGCCTGGCACCATACACATATTTTTTTCTCCTATTACATCAGACGTTTATAAATTTACAAAGCTGCAATGTTAGTGCTTTTCAATAGGACACCACAGTTCTCTTTGTTACATTATCAGCAGCATAAAATAATAATAGCTCCAGTTCATTGATTGCTTAGCCAGGTATTAGCAGTCAGACTTGTGTAGTTAAGAAAGACATTCTGTGATTAAAAAGAAAAATAAAAACAAAACAGGAGCCATACCAATCACCTTTAGCGACTTCTCATAGTTGTATAGCTGGGCACAGTGGCTTCCCTCAGAAAAGGAATGGGACATCACACATGCACCTGTTGCAGTTTTTGTTACCATGTCATTTTTTATGGACATGCCTCACACCTGCGTTAAACACGCTCTATGAATCATATTAAAAAAAAAAGAAACACTTGTAAAAGCCTTGTCTTAGCTTTATCAGGATGATGAAGATAGGAAGAAAGTAAAAGCTAATTATCTTATCTAAAAAGTGAGCACGCAAATGTTTTTAATGATCTCAAATGTTTCTATGTCTATATAATATATGAATTCAAGCATATGTCTGTTTCATAGCATCAATAAATCTGTCATGGTGAAGTACAAACTGAGGATTGTAAAAAGAATTTTCCAAACAAACATCAATGGATATCCGATATTTGTGACAAAATTACTCACTTGATGAAAAAAATAAATGAAATATTTAGTTTTATTTCCCCAACTATTTTAGCATTTCTAGGACCATTTTTAAGTTCTGTAAGGAATCAAGAGGATTCAAACTTTAACTCACCATTGGTTCCACAAGAAGTGTGGCTTATGATCCCTTCCTATGTATTCACCTGTCCTACTCAAGCATGTCTTTATTTTTTTAAGATTTATTTTATTTATTTATGCTTATAAGAGCTGGGTGTAGGCCAGAGGTATGGGGGATAAGAGGGTTCACCAGAGACAGAGTGGGGAACAGAACAGGGAGACTGACTGAAATACACTGCTAAGGGGAGCAGCGGGCAAGATAAGAGAGGTCTGCTGTGCCATGTGGGTCAGCTCCCTGGTCTGGGATCTAACTCCTGCTACAATGGCTGTCCATTGCTTGATAGCACTGGAATTTAACCCCTGCGCCACCAGGGAGACCCTCAAGCATGTCTTTTCTTAAAAAAAAAAAAAAAAAAAAAAAAGGCTTAATTTACAGTCTTTCTCACATGTAAAATTTTAGTATACTAGATGTTTCCTGCATGGTTTGTCTCCTCAGTCATGGTCCACAGGACACTGAGAAGCTGCAAAAATATGCATTCCTACAAGTATGGACTTGCTTTGTCTACAATATCCCGGAGAGGGTTTATACATTATGGGGCAGTGCCCTGTGCTGCTCTGCACTACCTACATGACAGAGCCTGGGAGAGCGACCTCCCAGGGCGTCCACATTGGACTCAAACATGTCCATACTTTTCTTTCCATTTTAATGAGCTCTTTAATGATCGATCATTGTCATTGTTATTTTCCTAATGTCCAGCAAAGTAGGTATTCAGTATACATTTGACAGAATGAATACAACTTGTCTTAGTCCTTGCTCATTCATTTGTTAAGGAAAATTTTAGTGAACAAAGCAAGATTAATCACATTATTAAACTGTGTAATTTGGAAGAAGTAAGATAGGGAGAACAGAGAGAAAAGGTGTGGGGATTTGTGTCATTTCCTGCAACGTTCTAAAGACCAAACAAGTCAGGGCTGAGGGCGTGAAAAAGCCTCAATACAAAATGAGTGTCACAGTAATTAATGGCAATGATATGGCAGAGGAAAATGGAGCTGCAGAATGATCTAAGAGTAGGGAAAAATTTTTAGAAGCAAAGAGGAAAGGGCAAGTCAAAATTGATTCTATCTAAAATTACTAGAAACCAAAGGAAACAACATTCAACAAAATAGTGAAATTAAAATGTATATATATATGTATATAAACACACATAGATACATATAGCCCTTACTGTAGTCTGCTTCTCATTTTCTTGTTTTTTTTTTAAGATTTATTTATTTATTCATACAAGCACTGGGTACAGTCAGAAGCGCGGGAGGGTGGGATGATTCACCAGAGCCAGAGCGGGGAGCAGAGCAGACAGAAGGACCGAAGTACACTGCTGAGGGGAGCAGTGGGCGGCAGGAGAGGTCTGCGCACCATGTGGGACCCTCGCTGGTGGCTGGAGATTGAACCAGTGCTGCAGGGACTGCGGGCAGCTTCGCAGCCCAGCGCTCAACCACTGTGCCACCAGGGGAGGCCCTGCTTCTCATTTTCAAAAGAAAAAAACTTTTGATGAAATAATACAATGTCATAGCAGTCTTTAAAATCCATTTTTTTTTTTTAAGATAAATGTGAGCAGTAAGTAAAGACAAGTAGTTAAAGGTGGGAAGTTCATGATACCAAAGAATAGCTGCTGTAAAATATAAAGGTGAATGGAAGAATAAAAAATAAAATTAAAATCCTAAGTATGTTCTTAACCTAAGTTGATAAAAGTGTAATAGACTGAGAAACATATCAGACAAATTTGTGCCTATACTCTGAGTCAGTATTATGTTAGGAAATTCACTTATGTATCTCATGTCACCCCAGACATGCTGAATTGGGATTGGAAATGGGGAGCGGGACTCTTATGTGAGTTGGTGCTAGGTCCTTGTGTCCCTTAGGAAAGAATTCAATGTCAAGACTTGAGTATGGCAGAAAGGTAAAAAAATATATTGTCGGATAAGTAGGAAAGGACACCTCTCTGAGCAGAGAAGGTCCTTAGTGGGTAGCCATTGAGGAGCAAGAAATGAGCTTATAAGCTTTATTCAAAAATAAAGGGGGAAGGAGTGTGACTCTCTGTCATTTTGATTGGCAGGGCTGCACAATGGGTTCTCTTGGTTGGTTGTCGCTGTTTGTCTTCAATCGGGGCTGGGGTCTCCTTAACCTGATGGTGTCTGGTTCTTGGGGGCAAATTGTGCTGATCTTGATCAGCAGAGTTGTTTGCTCGTGGGGTGGCCAACCTGTAAAATGTTCTCTTTTCCAAGGTGTTATCAAGGCTGAGGCTTCTCATGGTCCAAACTGCCTACATTCCTGATTTATTCCCCCCTTCAATAGCTTTTTGTTTCTTATAATCCAAAAGGCTAAGGCTCAAAGATGATAACTAAATTGCTCAGTTATAGAACTACAAGATATCACTGAACGAGCCTATATATTCATATAAATAAAATTTGATTGTTTGCTATAAAGAAAAAAACGTGCTGTATTGTTCCTTAAATTATTCCCTACTGCTTAAGGTATTTAGAGATTCATGGAGTATCAGGCTGAGGAGAAGAAAAAATTATGACTATTTCAAGTTAGTCGTTATAGGGAGTCTCTGAGCTATTAAAGTTCATGAAACTTGGTGGATTTGCAATGAGATATCCTTAAAATTCCTGTGATAGCCCAGACACAATCATCAAATTTCCTTTCTGTAAATTCTCAACACCTGGCCATTTCACAGTACTTCATTTATTCCACAGCTATTCAAGATTAACTTGTACATGGACTTTGAGATTTTGATAATGTTATACCCACCCTTCCTTTACTTCTAATTGCATAACCTTCGTCAGTTGTCCTCCAAGTGAACAAACTAGATTGAGAGCAATACCAAATAAATAAATTACCATTAAAAAAAGAGAGACTTGATTTTTAATCAAAATTTCTGAGCACTAAAACACACTGAACACCAATATAATACATGTTCAATCCATGTAAGTGCCTCCTCCCTCTGCTCTTCCTTCTTTTTAGTCTTTATTCATTTCTCAGTTTGTATTCATTTCTCAGCTATTCTGAATTGTCAGCTTTATTATTCTTTTTTTTTTTAAGATTTATTTATTTATACAGGCACTGGGTACACTCAGAAGTGCGGGAGGGTGAGAGAATTCACCAGAGCCAGAGGGGGGCACAGAACAGGCAGACCGACAAAATACACTGCTGAGGGGAGCAGCAGGCGGCAGGAGAGGTCTGCGTGCCATGTGGGACCCTCACCGGTGGCTGGGGATGGAACTGATGCTGTAGAGGCTGCGGGCAGCTTCGCAGCCCAGCACTCAACCGCTGTGCCACCAGGGGAGGCCCAGCTTTATTATTCTTAATATGTTGTAAACGGGAAGTCAAGGTTCAACACAATTAAAGAACTTTCATATCCACTAAATAAACAGAAGATGAGAGGCTGAGGAATACTTTGAAACATTGCTATTGCTATGTGCACCTTTGCTTAAGACTTCCTCATGCTTAATATGTAAAGACATGCCCTATTATGGAAGAGAGAAATGTGGGATAGAATCAATTGAAAGGATATTTGCTTACTAATTTTTACCTCTTAGCTAATATGACCTTTTCAATTAAAAATTAAAGGTACCATATTCATAGTTCTCTATCATTTTATATACTGAGATCTGGAACTCCATTGCTTATCTTAAGATAATCTTATCTGTCATTTAAAATAACTGTATCATTATATAATTTCCATTGATGAAAGTCGATTTTTTCCTCCTCTGAATTTGTCAGAATAGGCATATTTGTTTTAGCAAAATAATCAAGCTGCTAAGAATATAACGCTCTGCCTGTTACATTGCTTAAGATTGGCTACATGATTTGTTTGAGTTATATGCAATATGTTGTAAAAGCAGACATATGGCAAGTTTAATGTCACCCATCTGATGTAATTGAACTTGAGGTTGCACGAGTAACACTTAATTTCATCAGAGAAACTTTATGAACACAACTGTCATTATATCAACAACAAATGCTACTTCATAAAGAAGTATTTGCATATTGCAGTGAGGGATTTGCATATTGTAGGAGGGATTTTCTTTTCTTTCTTTTTTTTTTTTGCCTAAAATAATAGATTGGCTAAATATTAGGTAAAATTTATTTTCAACTATCTTTTTGGAATGTTATATTTTTTATGAAAATTATCTTGGGTTAGAAGAGAATATATGTTACCATTACTCCATTATTCCAGTATAATGCATATAGTCCCCCCTTGTTTTTATAGTTGAAATTATAGTGATTATGTATTTTGTGCTATGATTTTTTTCTCACTTATATAGCACATACAATTTATGTTTAATTATTTTTTAAATAATTATCATAAATAGCATTACTAAAATTAAGGTTATGACATCCTTTTCAACAAGCCTTAGTTACTGATGTTTAACTAGTTTTTTCCTAACTCATTGGCATTAATACACATTTCTTTAGTTGTTCTTTTGTCAATTGTAAATTAAAATAAGTGCATATCAGATGGATAATTTTCCTGAAACAAAATGAAATTTCAATTAACTCTATCATTTCAAATTTCTGTCTTACTGGAAATGTCTACAAATGAATAAAAATTGTTCATGTTAGCTACATGTAGTTATTAAGAGCTAATAACACATGTGTAGATAGAACACTTGATAATATAACCAAAACTATGACAGTGTTTTCTGAGCCACAGCAGATGATCAAACTACATGAACATGAAGCTTCAATGTTTTCTTCAGTCCCTCACACCTGAGCTATTTCAGCTACTTCAGTTATTTCTGAGGTGTAAAAAAGACATCTAATTCTTAAAAAAACTAAAAACTTAAGCATGTTAATTGCTTTGAGTGGTCTTTTTTTTCCTGTTCGATGATTCTTCTCATGCATACTCAAGTGTGATTACCATACTTCCATTATCTAAGTGATACATAAAGAAATATTGCTTTCTAGAAGCATGTTAGATCCTCCATTAATAACATTATTCCTTCTGTCAGTTCCAAAATTTTCAAAATTGTCTACATTCTTATTTTACTCAGAAGCATTCAGTTATTTGAAATTCATGCCAAAGGACACTGGCAAGCCAGTGTTCTCCAGCATTTTGTAGATTTATACTTTGAGAAAAAAAATGGTATGTACTCTCTGAGACAAATTTATGGAACTATTAAATTGCAATTTATAGTGTTCTTGTGTACTGTGTCTTTTCTAAAGACTATGTTTCCTGTGTGTAAATGGGAAGATCCTAACCTACTGAAAAATTGAAAATATTTTGTCCTATTTATTTTATATTCTATCTTTGAAGATGCAGGGAGATATGCACTCATTGTAGCTTTGAAAGCAATTGATCTTTTATTATTCAATGTTTTTCCAATAACCAAGGATGTAATTCCCCTCTCTTTAGTTCAAAGAATATAGAGTAACCACTAAAGTTATGGAGACTACTAATAACCCTCTCATTAGATCTATTCTTTGGAACTTTTCTTTTCTTGGCATAAAAAAAAGTTTATGATAAGATATTTGTGTATTCCTATAAAAATATTTCATTTGTTCACTGCTACCAGGTTCCTAGTATTAAGAACCAGTGCATAAAATTGTTCATGACTCATAAATACTCTAATATTTACTTACTGAATTAAGTCTTAGTAATCAAAAT